TTTACATCAACGCACACACACACACATACACACACAGCCGGGCCAAGATTTATGCGAACGAGTCCGTCGTCACGCGACGGTAAGAGCTCGAGGTTGGTTCCTGAAGGCATAATATGACGTATCGGGACTCGTCGTGCCACGCGGGACCACGGTACCTACGTACGAGCGATACAAGACATGGAGAAATAAAAAATACAGACGCGCGACGTAGGTGGCGGGCAGTGGGGGTGTAGTTGTCGGTCCATAAATCACTGGGGAACGAGAGAGGGACTGGAGCCAGCGGGGTTTTCGAATCGTAACAAAGTGGAAGATAGCCTGGGCTGGAAGCTAGGGAGAATATGGCCACCATTTTTCGTTGGCTTCGACCGCTGAAAGCGCACGTAACGCTGTAGGACGTTTTATGTCTGCATGATTCACCCCCGTGCCCCACCTCCGTTCGAGATTTCGGCTTGTCATGCTCCCTTTCTTACCGATTTTCTACGCCTTCGCCTGCTTTTTCGCATTTTTTTTTTTTCGTTCTCTCTTTCATCGCCGTCCTCTCCTAGGCGTTCTCGACTCACCTTCCGAAACCCCGGCTACGTTTTCGTGCCAGCTCTAAAGCAATACGAATAGCCATTGGGCCAGCCACGAAAACGAAAACTTTTTCCATGACACATACTGATGCTCAGCTATGAGCCACTATCGTGATCGATCCTCCCTTCTCGCCAATGAGTGTCCCAGCGATGTAACCCCGTTAGCCACCTCGTGCACGGTTCTACGGATTCGTTTCTCATGATTTTGTTGAAAATGTCTCGACTCTTTCTGGTTACTGTATCAAACAAATCTTGACTGTATTCTTATTTCTGTAAGAATTCGCGTTTGCTTTGAATGTTGATCGATAACATATTCAAGCTGCACGGAGTTACGTTAACAGACAAAAGAATAAACAGATATCGTGTATATAGAAGATACTGTTGATTCAAGATGTATAAAATTACAAAGGCTCTTTGATCTGCATGAAATCGATATCATTCAGGTAACTTTTCATATCAACTATCATTTGCATCTTGCCCTTTGAACAATCTGGAACAGCTTGAAAGGATATGTTGTAAAGGAAGGTTGGGCAAGATAGATAAGTGGGATAAGATGAGATAGCATTGTTTCGCAGAAACTGTAGATGCTACTGTGAAGATATACTCAGAATACAGTATTTTTCAATTGAATAGTATCGGATAAAAAATAGATATATGCATGTAAGCTTATGTAAAATAAAGGAATTCCAGTGAAAATTCTTGCTTACTACTTAGGTCCGTTTATAATAAAAATTAGCTGATGACATTAGTTTATGTTGATGCACACACAAATGTAAAATCATAATTATTTCAGTCCTTGCTTTATATAATTCAGATCTATTTCCAACTTTACGGATAAATATATATTGTTAATAAAAATATTTTAATAAATATTATGTGAAGAATCTATTCTATTTCTTTTTATATTTTTTCTCAGGCATTCTGTCTTGCCTCGCTTCCTCCTACTGTTATACTAGATGCACAAAATTGGCATTCAGACGATTGTTTCGTTACTAGATATCTGCGTGTTAACAGACAATGTCTATGGTATTGTACGTATCATCGTGGAATGCATGAAAGGTGCAGCAGGCAACGATTTACGAACACACGCCTATCCTTTCGATAAACATTTTTTGTCAGCCGATTACGAAAGCGTCGCGTCGCTTCCAGGCCGGGCAGACCTTTGTGCAGTAACAATACAATGGAAATGCGCTGCATATTTCACACTGGAAAATCGGGAATGCCTCGCAAAGCCGGATATAGGTCAGAGTTGCAACGCTGGAACGAAACGCGACATTGTTTGTTAGGAAAGACAAAAGCCGAACCGAGTCTGGGGTTGCTTAAACTTTCAGTCGATAGAAATGTCGCGTCTTGAATCAAATTCGAGGCATCGAACGACTTACTATTAATTTAATCCGATTTCGCTGTAACACCAGCTGAAAACGTCACGTCTCGTTTATTTTTGCCCTTTAGAACTCGAACGTAGTTAATTCCCGTCGAATTTGTTGGGTAATTAAGAAAGAAAGAAATTAAGATGAATAGAGAAAGAAAGTATTCAAAAGAATGAATACAAACGATTGTAATTATACTTCTTTGATATGAAAAGAAATGCGAATATTCGTCCATTAACGTAATAAGAAAAATGTTGGGAAGCAAGCTCGGTGAGCTAACTTATTCATTAAAATTAATGCGAAATGGGAAACCGGTCGTACTCGCAAATTAACCCATGACGCAGCGGTATCCTTGCGCGTTGCGGCGGACCTTAATACATGGCTAAACCCTTAATGGAAATGTATCTTCCATGTATAATTATAATCGTACGTTACCGCGGCTGGAGCTTATCGCGAATCTCGGACAGATAACGCGTATCGCGATGGACGAATCGCCGAACCCCCTCGGCTCGCAGAAAAGCGAATTTCCAATTTTCATCCCGAATTCATCAAAGCACGGCTCTTTCCCTTATAATTCATACGAAAACGCGATCCTAATTGAATTCTAATTCCCCGGAATTCGAAGCAATTATGAACGAATTAGAGCATCGCGATGAAATTAGCAGCTAATTGGTCGTGGCATGAATCTCACTGATATCAAAATGACGGGTCGTCAACAATTTATTAGAGTTCAGAGTAAAGTTGCGAGCCAACGGGCGAGACGCTCTGGCGAAAAATTTGCCAGAGCTTATAGGCAGGAACGTTGTTACCCCTTTTGCTGAGAGAGGAGCAACGCCTCGTCCTAATACAGATTTATTGCCGCCTAAGAGCCGGAGCCGACCGTCCTAATACAGGTATTATGCTGACGCAGGAACGAGGAATTTACACGAAATTGGAGGTAATTTGTAGGGGTCGAGTTCACCACCCGCGCCTCGCCCCGGCGCCCAGCTTCGTTCCCCCAATTCTACCCTGCGTTACATCGAACCGGACTCGTGTCCGCCCTCTATGCGATTCTTGCCTACCCGTGTCAGTGTGTAAATCCTAAGTCGTTTTCTGACTCGCTTAATTGAGTAATGCGCCTTATCGTTAGTCGGCCAATTGCCTTTTAGATAACGATAGGATGTTCTCTGAGTTATCAGTGAATAATTTCAGTGGAAACGAGAGAATCTCTGTTCTGATATGAATATAATAACTGATTATTATCGCACTAAATTTTGCGTATAAAAATTGGCAGTAATTTTCAAAATGCGAGCTCTGTAAATTGTTCGAAGTCAGAGAAGTGGTAAAATTGTCACGATTCTTCTTCTTGACAAACGACGGGTACTCAACCCTCTTATCAAAGTTAATCCGGTCTTACGATTTTTCTTTGAGATAGAATCGATCTTTCTAAGGCGTCCTTTTATATTCATGCTTAACCCTCAACTTTAGTCGATTAATTCGATATTAACAGTGTACAAGCCGCGTTTTTGCCCGACCCACCCAATATCTGATACTCGTTCTAAACTCTTGCTCGACAACAGAATTCTATAAGCGTGCCTTTTTCCAGGCCGTGCGCTATTTAAAATTTTAATGTCGAGCCGCGGCACGGCAGCGGGACGTTCTATAGCCGGCCTCGGGGCACTTTGGAGATTTTAATCTCACCGTTGTAATAAGAAATAAACCGCACCGCCTGGCGGACTCGCTAAATACCGGCCGGCGTCGTTGAAACGCTCGCAGCCCGTCACGCGACCCAGAATGCGAAGCAGAAAAGAATCTTGAAGCGATTAACCAACCCTTCACACATTCTAATGTGACAGACTTATTTTTACGGCCTGGGGGTCCGCCGTTACGCTTGTATAATTCAACGAATCAAAGAAATACTCCATCGCGTGGAATAATATTTTTTACTATTTAATTCGATCAACGAGAAATGTTATAAAAATTACAGCTGAACGTTGCGAATATTTGCGTGAAAGCTTTCGCCTGGCATACTCAATGAGATTTCTACTATGCATAGTCAATGAGAAAAGAACCGAAAGGGACCGGTTAGAAGTTGGTCAGAGTGGATTAAACTAAGCGGTTTCCAATGTTGGCCGATGTTCAACATACTTCCCTAACTTTTGGCAAACTGACGCTCGCCGTGTCCTTAGTAGCCGGAAATTAAGAGCTGATTGCGCGAAGTAATCGCGCAACTTTCTCGTATCTCCGTCGAAACTTCCATTCTTCGCGAATTAACATGATGAACGAGAGGAAATCTTTCGGACGGGATTATCAAAGGCAGAAAAAAGTAGCATTGGTTTTGATTCATCCGAGAGTTTAACTTTTAACCCTTTATACGTTCCCTAGTAAGTAGGCTTGCCATTTAGGTCTATTAAGATTACTAGAAGTCGTCTTTAATACAATCATTCTTTATCAATTCTGGCGGAGATTTTAAGAAATTATAATATTAATACTAGTAGGATATATGCTTTCTGTATTTCAATTTTTATTTACATGCCTTGATACTGTATATCCTATAAAACTGGGATTCCCAACTTTTTTCTCTATTATACACACTGTATAAAATATGCTTACATGTGTTACTCCATTTTACATTTCTATATTGCATTTATTATACAAGAAATTTATATATTTTATAAAATAGAAAACAAGTCAAGTACTTTTGTACAAATATGTATATTACTGATTTCTAAAACATATTAAATGATTTTAGTGTATTTTCTTCCTTATATTTGTCTCCATAGCTTGATATCAATAATAAATTAATTATCAATTTTGTTAATAAATTCTATTTATAATCAATGAACTGTTGATCTTGATTATGCTAATCAATTCCTGGTACATATTTGGTTATTTATCCCCAATTGACTCGCTGATTATTATTGACCTTTAGAATTTCATCAACCTCGTTGGGAATCCCTGCTATAAAGCTTTGAAACGACTGAGTTTCGAGTAATTCATGAATTCGGAAACGATAAACGGCGAATCAAAACGTGGTACTCGTTGGTCGAGCAAATTGTCGATATCATTGTTCACTTACCTGGCATGCTTGGGGCCAAGACTCGGATCGTACATAGAGCTGGCCGATATGTCCTCATCGGGGATTTCGCCATTCTCCATGCCCAGCGCCGCGGTGCATTGTCCTGAAAGGATACGAGGCGGGCATTAGAGAGACGGAACTCAATATCTATCCTCGCTTTGTCATCTACGGACTTCAAACCGAGCGGCCACAGTGGTGGCGAGGTACACGCTTAGGAAAATTAAACGTTAATGAGTAGGAAACGGTCGAGAATTTTCGGATTGAAACTCTCTACATATAAACTTGAACGAATAATCGCAGATGGGAAATACGAGAACCCGTTTGTTTCTACGTACGTGTATTTCGATAATTCAGCTGGCCAATTAAAACTTAACCGACGACAAACAAACTGTTTTCAATTGCGCCACGTCGTCGATTTTAATGGAATCGTCTGTTATAATTTCGTTTCGCCCTCCCTCGAGTTTCGAAACTCATTTCGAAAATCGTTTAGGACGTTACATACGTGACATAAATGCACACTACTATTCATGAATCTGAGAGCTTATACATTATCAATTCATATATAAT